GGTAATGTTAACCAAACCATTTCGATTGTGAATTAGGTGACCTGATCCAAGATATCCTTCGCAGCTGGAGATATTTAGAAACGCGAGATATTCTACCCTTTTCTACATTCTTCTCTCCACTCTGCATACATATAAACATTAGCACAGGTTAGATTCGAGTTGCTGTCCTACCTTGTCACTATCAAAACATTTCATTCGACTACATTCTGGTACTTATCAAACACTGCTTACCTTCATCCTGATTTACGGTATATTATAAACAAGGCAATCCCGAGGATTCTGTAGTATCTCGTTGCAATTCCTGATCAAGCTTCTGACAACCCCGGAACCCCTGTCTAGCAACCGAGAGCTTGCCCAGCAACAATCTTTACCCACAACTTACCCCATCTCGAGTCCATGTCGTATATTTGAAAATTTATTTATTTATGCTTGTCCAGAGGTTACCACATTACTACCGTCTCCAAAATAAACATCATCATCCCACACACTTTCATTCAAAGCTTACTTTACCTCCCCTCACCCACTTACCAATTACCACCCTTCACTCGCAACGCCAATCCAACCAACATGACCTCCTTCTGCCCAGAAATCTTGGAACCGAGCACTACATATTACCCTTTACCCTAGAGCAAGCCGCAACTAATCTATACGACTCCCTAGCAAGTAGCCACTCGAGCTCTGAACGGGAACTAAGAGGTTGTACACTCAAGACCCCAGACTAAATTCAAAGAAGTCAAAACTTACCAGAGCTAGTGAGAAATATCAGTCAGCTGGTCAATCAGATCACTTTAGATGCATGCGCTACCTACGCCATCATCATCATCACCATCATCGCTACGTATAACACAGAGGGTGGTTGAGATCTAGTCAGTTGCAGATTTCGCAAGTGCTTTTGGATTTTTGTTGGGGATCAATCTAAATTGAGTGGTCTTCGAGAATGGTCTTCTAAGGGTCTCGTGGGAGTTTGCATATACGCACATACGCATACGAGTAACGAGATTCCTGAGTCTAGAATATCGATATTTGACTTTACGGTTGTGATTAAAACGGTTCTTCACTACATGCACAGTTCGCACCTTGTAGCAATACCGATACTTCCGTGGCTAAGTTTATACTCTAACTACTTTTGCGTGACATTCTATAGCTAATGCTAGTGCAAGTGTTAATTCTCGTCTACTCCTCTCTTTTAGCTTTCCGCATTTTTGGTTACTGTTTAATTAGTGTATCTTCACCTCTCTTGCCGTTCACATTTAGCTTTTTTCTCTTTAACTTTTTTCTGTTTCCACTGTCTCTCCTTCTTCCACTTTTTTAAACCCTGGAAACCCACGCGTTCCCAGCCCAAAATTCCATCCCACGCACTTGGGATCAAAATCAATTAATAACATCACAAACCCAACGAACCGGGGAACATTTTCACTGTTTCCCGGCCGGTAAGATCTTATGTGGGGTACGACAGTACCACGAAAATTGGTCTCGTGGTGATAGCTATGAAGATCGTTGGGTCACGTGCGTCAGACTTGGGAAGTGCCAATGCTTTGAGGATGAAGGGCCTGGTGGTCTAGGTTGTTTGTGGATGGAATGTGGAGGAAAGGATGAGGGGACGGTGATGCATGAAAAACTCACCGTTTGACAACATATATGTTTCAAACTCTGTTTTTGACATTCTTACTGTTCATTCGCTGTTTTTCCTCGATATTCTGCATACAATCTGTCCGAATTGAATTTTGAGGGCTAAAGGGCCCTTGGGGCCCAAGGCATGAGTAGTACAATGTCTTAAGTTTTTCGATGTCTTGCTTCTTCTCCCATTCCATTCATTGACTAGCTTTTTTTGAGTGAAGTAGAGTGGAGTATAGAGTAGTGAAGCAAATAAATACATGCGTATATTTCCAATCTCGTGATTCGTGGCTCATTGCTCGAATTTTTTGAAAGTTGAGGATAGGGGCTGAGACTCCCGGATGACGAACTGTTTCTTTTTTCCTTCTTGGTATGACGGGATGGATGGTCTGTCCTGGATGGATATAAGTTGGAATGACTTATTCCAGGGCCTTGAGTCTTTAATCGTAAAATGATTCAGCATTGACCTAACGGCAAAGTCAAGAATGTCATTCGGATTTGGTATTCTTTCCAACTAATAGAGTCACCCCCGAAAGTTTGAATGTCTCAAATTTAGGGTCAGCCGAAAGCTCCGATATGTGTGTTTTGGTAATCGATGCCCGAATTTTTGAGTAGGACAGAATGGCACAAATTTTCGCCTGCGGAGGATAGAGGATAGATCACAAATTTCCCTAGGTAGAGAGTTTAGAGATACCTATGTGTTCATTGGGATAATGCATCGCACTATAGATATCTAGTACCTTTTCTCGATATTCTATGGCTAGTGCCAGCGATAGGGTTTATGTCTAGTGACGTATCTCTATTTCTCCGAACGAATAAACTCCTAACATTATGACATCTAGCACTATGGGGACCAGTGAATTGTATTACAAATAGACATCGCTTTACCATGTTTCCATTCCTATTTACTTAACCTTATTGTTTTCGTAGTGCGTGTCTGTTGTAATTTAGCAAGACTCATAAACACTGGAGTCCTCCTTTTCCTTATGTCAAGAAACTTCGATGGTTCGTTATTTGAATCAGATAAAAACACTAACTAATGTCTTGAATTCCAGGAGATACAAACGATAGCCTGAAGAATTATTCTTCTATTTTAATTTGCAATATATTTAGTTAAGAACCCAACACACAACCATTCTCGATTAACATGTTCATGATTTCAAATAGACCGACGTTATGTATTATCTACCTCTGGAACTCAAACCTATTCCATATCCTACTCTCACTACCCACCGGTAAAAAAATTCTAGCTCCTATCCACCTAAACTATCTTTCCTAATCATTCAATATTCTTTCCGGTGGAGGTCCTCCCCCAAGCCACCTGAAGTGGATAGCTCGGATGGACATCCTCGAATCCATTCTCTGACAAGTGAACAGATAGCTCAAGGGGCCTTTTGGCATGAAGGAAGGAAGATCTAAAATAGAATCCAGGTCAGGTAACAGGAAACGGAGCTAAAGATTTGTTATCAACTTCTGCAGTCACACACTAATCACATTGGTGTAAAGTATCAGTTTGCTCCCGCTGTCAGGATCGCCACAGAGCGCAGCGGAAATGGGGGAATTTTGCAGTGATTAATTATACATCGCCATATAGTGATACGGTACGCATTCTCACATTAATTCCTAACGAACAGTAAATTGGGCGATTGAATTGATCTTCTAGATCAAGATTTCCATGTGGAATTGAGGGTATATCCATCCGGTGGGTTATATCTATGTCAAATTCCAATGCAGCACCATTATTGTGACTTGGAAAGCAGAGGAGGATGATGGTGTGAGTTTTGTTGGGGAATAGAGAGTAGATTCTTCATATCGCTTGGAACAATCTATCTTGATTCTCAGATCCCTGTACCAGTACCTATATCCGGATCGTGTTTATCCTCTCTTCAATGATTGAGACTCGAAGATTGTAGTTCCTATATAGATAACGTGGGGTGAGGGTTGAAATCGTATATATAGTTTCGGTACCACCAGATAATTGAATATGAACAATTCTCATGTCAATAGTTCAAAGTAAAGGGCAAGGGGGGATTTTCGATGATTCAAGGGTGAATACACAGCGATTCAGGTTAACTTTCTTATGGTATAATATTTTACGAGAATAAATTGCTCAAATGTCTATTAATGAGAAAATTGAAGCAGCAGGTGTATTTCCATCAAGACGCTCACAAAAGCATCATCTTCAAGTCAATAAACAAGCGAGAGTGATCGCTACGCATATATCTAACCCCATTGCCGTACCCAGGACTCCATAAAACGAAACAGCAGACTAGATTTCTAGTGATTCTCAGCAACTTCATCTCCTTTCATGGAAGTAAATGAGAATCCCTAGCATCAGAGAGGCGGAAGTTCGAGAGGAGTGATTATGTATGTGATGAACAGCACATTGCTTTACCTAGAGATTTTGCTGGTCAATCAAATTTCGACATTTGAAAGATGTGTCAGCGAGGTTGTGCTATATACTAGACTTTGATGGAGCTGGGATCTCAGAGATTTCAGTGATGATTGAGGAGTAAAGTGGCATAATGAGTACCTAATCAGATGAGATGGGACTACCAGTGGGTCGGGTGTATGGACAGACGGGATACTGCAAGAATTGACTTTTGACTATCTTTTAATATATCAAATCATACATCTTAAAAATTGTCATAATTGTTCATTGGAACTGAAACAATCAAAATGTAAATTCTGATATCAAACAATTAAAGATTGAACCTGTTAAAAGATTTGAAAGTTGAAAAGTGCCCCATCAATCCGTGCACCTCCTAGTGGACCTGGCTGGATCGAGTTTTCTTCTCTCGCGTGTCCTTGATGGTAGCCTCTGAATCCTTACCCATTGTTTTCCGAGTACTTTTGGAAATTTGCTTTCTGTTCTCAAAATAAGAGTTTTCCTCCTCTCGCTAGTCGTTACTGCTTGTTATCGTGGCCGAAAATGAAAGGGGGGATAACTGTCGATGTGTCGGCTTTCAGAGGAAGCGGTTATGGAAAAGAAGTTTTTCGGCCAGATCATATTTCTGGAAGAGAAACAAAAGTGTCTCCCTTCGCAAACTCTTTTCTGCCACGAATGTCTGAAATTGATCGCCCCATTCGATAAAGATCCCTTGGCTTATCAAACAGGACGACTGAAGAGAAGTAAGTTGTTCCGATGGTAATGGAGGTTAGAACGCTGGAAAGGACGGAGAAAACTTATAAGAATTTATACAATAACTTCTTGATTAAGCCAACTTATTTTCATGTTCGACCAACAATGTCTCGGAAATTTTTGCGTCATGCTTTTACACATATGGGGCCCCTGGCATATTTCACCAAGATTACTTGTTTCGATGGCATATTATGAATTCTAGTTTAAGGTAATCGAGTACAGTGTCAGAAGTATATCGAAGGAAGGTTTCAATGATAGTCTGAATTTAGTTTAATAATGACAGTGGTATATCTAGATATGACATGACAGAAATGATTCGAGGAGATCAAAAAGAAAAAGATCAATATGAAAACCAGGACCAGCCTGCAGCAGGAAGTTTTGATGTACTCATCAATACTGCAACAACAGGTACCATCAGAAAATGCACTGAATACTGGCGTCCACGGAATGTTGAAAAGGGTTTCAACGAATTTCAACGCGGTAGCCCCCAAGTCTTCTGGGATCAATCTTGTGTTTACCATTGGTGGGTCCATCGAATGTAATATTCGGAGTGCCATTTCCAGGGGAACCACTTGAACAACAATTATTTATTATTCATGACAACTCTTAAGGATCACCACTTACGACCAGCAAATCAATCTAACACCGACAGTAGCTTTGATTTCGACACCTTGAATATTGCTTCAAGCTTGTTAACCATGGAGATATGTTTGTTGGAAAGGTCCTAACTTACGGACTACCTTCGAGGTAGTAGTTTGTGTTAATATTTGGTTCGTGGGTTCGGTCTCCGCCACCTTTAACGTCCCACTTGACCTGTTTTGCATGTTAATCTTGAGCTATAACTCATAACAATAAGGAAGAGACAAGCTGCTGACATACCCAGGCTGTGGATAGAGGTGTAATTGCCTCGAAATCATGTGGATAGTCTCGAGGCTCGACTCCCTCTGCCGTTGCAGAAGATTCACTCGCCATTATGAGAGGTGTATGAACTGAAAGAAGGATTGTAATTCTTGACCTTGAAGATATTGTACTTTTTAGGAGTTTGGATTGACCTGGAGAAGCAAGAGTGAGTAAGTGGGTATAAGTGTGATATTAATGTGTTTTCTAATTGCTATTTTCTCGATCATCTATATCGTACTCACCTTTGAAATTGAATTAGCCGTGAGGATTTCCTGTGGTAATATTTCGTTTTGAAGTTATTTGACCACATGATGATTTCTGATTCGACTCAAAGTGGCCAGCTGCATACAGAGTTGCAATGTTTACAAGCTTACAACAGAAATTTCTAGATTGGTTACTTTTCGACCATATTCTGTTTCACGAACATTGGCGGAGTGTAACTCTGATTGCAGTCACTTGGAAATCGATAGTGGAGCACCAAGCCACTGTCACTACCATCTTTTTAATTTACACGCCATTAAGCACTGCCAATTACAACAACCGACATCATATCGCATGTTGGATCGTGTCTATGAATCGCACCAGTCTCTTTTAGAAATGATATTAGTAATGATAGCGAAACAAGTTACTGGTCGGGACAATTAGCTTATATTTGTGTAGCCAGCGAAATTGACAGGCATCTCCGGCACTCTTGAAACTTCTATGATGTTAGCATCGTTGCCTATAGTTTATTAGACGGAAGCAAGCTCTTCTGAAGGACATATTACAGATCCCAGGTTGCCTGGATCCAATAGCCGCATTTCACAAAGGCAACTCCACACACGAACCCCATTCCTCGTTTTTCTGAGGAATTTTCGCTGCAGATACAAAGATGATTGATTTCATAGCTCTATGATAAATTGAATGTGGCATGGAAATATGTGGATAAAGTTTCTCGAGTAAGCAGTAATCTAGAGGAATCGTTACAGACAGGTTATGGACACGCTCATCTTTGCGATTATTATGAATACGATGTGAACCCCAAGACGACTGCGGGGTAATAACGCATCTGGTCATCACATCGAGCTCATATGAGCTGGTCTGATGTTAGGCTTTGATATGAAAAGCACGATTACGATTGTGTATCTACCAGATGTCATGCACTTGGAGCACCCTTAACGGAGAACCCACTTTCAATGATTCGAGTGCACACCAGTATGCTACACAGATCAAACGTATGCAATTCTGTTTCGACTCTTCTTTTTATCCATCACCACACAAATCCCTTCTGTGGACTTTCATGGTGACACCGTGTCGGACTATTCTGACTTTGGGTAGCACATAAGCGGGGATGCAACTTGCAACAAAAGTTACGCAGCATGTGACAAACCACGGTCGTGTGTTTAGGGTTGAAGATAATGCACGGAAACGGACTAGACCAATTGCAAAGGCCTCTCTCTACCTATCATACAATGATATGAATGACTTCGAGTAACCGATGTGAAGAATAACCTTTGGATTGCCGAGAATCATAGCATATGGTTGTAAAATATGGTTGTGTAAATGCGACAGGAAAACAGGGAAACTGGGAAATACTCAGGACCCAACAAGGGACATAAAATACTCAGGAGAGTCCGAGGGGAAATATCATGCCATTACTTATAGCTAGCCAAAATAAAAGCTCCTGAATAATCAACACAACTCAACCGGGTCCGAAGCGAATGGGAGATTCCAGCTAACGATAACATAAAAAGACCACCCATTCTTTGGCTTGGGCGTCAATTTCATGGCCTCGGACTACATGGCCCTCAAAATGTATTAAGTTAATGAGAACACAGGCTCAGTAGTGCACTTGCCTGTTTTCAGTTTTAGCCAGCAATTTATGGAGCAGGTAAGCTTTCGGAAAATTGGTGTTTGGAAGCACTCTATCTTTCAATCTTCCCTCATGGTTTACACCCTGACCTCGAAGATACATAGCAAAAAAAAGGGTCCGGCGAGAATCTATTCATTGGCGAGGAAATATCATCGCTGATCGCAGGTGGAGATGTGGGAAACAGTACAAACAACTTTGTAAGGAATTGTTCGAACCAAGAAGTTTGTGTTGATCGAAACACTTATGGCGTTGCAGCTAGATGGAACAAGATAATCCCATAATTCTAGCTTATTATCACCACCTTTGTGATTTCGTAGACAAATATTTATAATATAAACATTCGTCCCTCCTAGCATTATCATGCCATCCTCAAGTATACATCGCCATTGCACTTGCGCTTGCACTCGCATACTGTGTTTTACAGATAATAAATTAAAGAACCAAAATTCAGTTTGTTCCAACATGATAACAACGTCTTGTGAAGGAGTCTAACATGAACCTTATACACTGTGACTCTCAGAAACATGTGATGGTTCATACTTGTCACTCAGACAATCATGGTGACTCTATCCAAACGCACTCCTTGGTGATTGTTCTGTCACGATGTGACGAAGACTGAACACCGGGCCATAAATCTGATCATTCCGGTACGGTTGGACCCTGATTACGGTTTCTGTGGCTCCCCAACGAATGATCCCCTGGGATGAAGTATAAATGGTGGAGTATAAAATAATGTGGATTAGATATTATATGTTTGAGTAGTGGGTTTGATGGATCTCCGAACGAACAACTAGAAGTTGTGTTGAATAGATTTCATGCCCACACCCACACCCTCACTCAATCGATAGATCAAGATATGGTGTGAAATAGCATAGAAGAGAAAGGGGAGGGCGGAAAAGAATCGGTGGGCTTATCGCACTAGCCCGCCTCTTCATCAAGGGTAGCAATCATTCTAGGGCAGACGCCGCTTTAACACCAAGAGCATTAGACATTATTAGATACGAGTATATCTTCATATCCAACGTCGATGATACATGTGTTTGTCGTCGATTTTGTAAGAGAGGAGAGGGCGGATTGAGCCAAGTTTTCTATGCTCACCAATAACGTCAAGAATGTCTAGTTTGCACTTACTTCCACTCATAACGTTTCAATCATAATATGTGAGATCCACGAATATTTAAAGTGCTATGCTCTCTAGGTATTCGTGATTTCATGATAAGCTCATGATTCAATGTCTCACTCAGCACCAATCAGCCTATGCTATTCAGTCTCATCAAAATTGGAGGAAGGCGAGGTAACATCTGACTCCAAAAGGGGGATATACAGCCACCGATATTGTCACTTTCTACTCTCGTTCCTGTCCCACATGTTAAAAATATCATCCTCATAAGACACCCACCACTATCAATTGTACATCAAATTCACTCTCGTGCAGTCTCGGATACGTCTAATCTTTCGCATACGCACCCGCTTATGCTCGGAAGAGAATCTAGCCCACTCTGGTACATCTATAGTATCCATCTAAAGCGCCTCGCCAATCTTGGAAACTTATCTCTCCAATACTAAACGTCAGGAACAAAGGCAACAAAGCATTCACTCCTTTTCCCGGCTCCAGTTTCCAAACTCCAACCCCTCCAAGAAGCGGTCTCCATCTCCACAGCCCCTATTCCTGTCGATAGAAAGCTATTACGATATATCTAATGATTTTCGAAGAAGGTGAATAAGAAATATTCATTCCTCAACAAAATCGACTTGAAACATATACCGAACATCTGACCGTATTCACTTTCTCGTGCCTATCTCATGAACCCTGACCCCCGCCCGGTGTTGATCAGCTCAGCCATCATATCATATCACATCACCATTATCAACCTCATTCCTCGCCATGCCAACATTACAACCTTCTAATCAACATTCACGACACGCAAATACACTCAGGAATCAGCAAAATAGAAACAACATGGCGAGATCAAATGCTGTATCAGATCGATTGCGCAGTGAAGGTATTCCGACTTTATTTAATTACAGTTTCTCCATTTCCCCATATCCTCTCCACAAATCTAATCTAATCTCGTATCTAATCTGGCAAAACAGCAGAATCGTGGGTCGAAATATCCTCACAACCATCTTCGTCCTCTATTTCCTCCATCGATAACGAAATTGTAACGACCGGTCTACGCGTATCTCAGCATCCTTCTACTAGGCGACGCAGAAGATCTCATAATCAACAACGCCCCCAGATAATCACAAATGAGAACAGACAAAGAAGCACGAGCAGTCAAGAGGAATACGAAGAATCAGAATCGGAACCAGATCATATAGATATCATAACCAGTTCCAATGAAATTTCCCCACCAGAAGCCATTCCAGCACGATTAACGACTCACGCAACATATGATGCAGAATTCGAAGATGATGAAGATGAGAACGGTACAGCTTTAGGAATAGGGAGAGGGGCAACATTACCATTCACACCCCAGCCAAATGCTTTCTCTCATCCCCCTTCTTCACAATCCCAGAGTCATCGAACCCAAGCTCCTACCCATGGCTCATGTTTCCCACGACAAGTTCATTCACAACCTCGACCACAACCTTATCCATCACGTAACCAGACAACTTCACGGAATGCGTCGTTCAATAATCACACGCGACTTCCCATAGATCATGATGCCGCTCTACGTGCTAGTCTCACAACATTACTCTCTTGTGCAGCTGCGGCAAGAGGTCTTCCTAAGTCTCCCGCTCAAAACGCCACCAGTAATGAACCAATGGGACTTCGAATAGTTCCTGAATCTGAACTCGTTGGTATAGCACCTCCTACCACAGCAAATATATCACGACCCTTATCATCAAGTCGCTCAAGAAGTGGATCATCACAAGATTCGCAAGATGAAGCTATCAAACGCAAAGCTACTCAGACAAAACAACACACTCGAGCTCTCAAGAAGAAGAAGGGAGAGCTGGTGCAAGGCGAGGAAGCGTTTATTTCGCCTACCCTACTGACTTGGGTTATGAGCGCAGGCGTTGTAGTACTCGTCTCAGTAGTTGGATTTGGTGCAGGATATGTCATTGGTCGAGAAGTAGGAAGGCAAGAAGCATCGGTCCTCGGGGGATGGAATGGCTCCATGAGTGATGGTAGCTGCGGAAGAGAAGTGGTTAGAAGTGGGACTGGCGGATTGAAGAGATTCAAGTGGGGTGGTAGTGTTGCTAGGAGTATTGTTGCTTGAAGTCGTACATGATAACTTGTGAGCATTTGAGCTTGATTGGTTGAATTGCAGGGTGGTCATTTTGATGAGATATCACGAGCGTGTTTGATTGAAAGGGTCTATTTACCGAGCGTAAATTTTCGGAGACTCT